AGAAAAGAAATTACAGTTCCTGCTGTACTCACATCCCAAGCAGCCTAAGTTAACTTAAATTGGGTATTTTAATAACCAAATATTCTTTCACAATCGAGTTTCAGGTGATGATCAGACACGTATCCAAGTAACTATAAGAGTAATTTTCTTCCTACCCCTCTGTCAAAACACAGTCATTGAGTGCACTGTGCCCCTTCTCGGGGGCTCAGGAGATGTCTGCCGTGGGCAGGGAGCCCTGAGCTCTGTTCCCCCATCTGATCATTCCTTCCACATCCCCATGTTTCTGTGTCTGACTGCAGGAATCGAACTTCAGAGAAATGTATTCAGGTTTCTGCTGCTAAACTGGGGAGAGAGTGTACCTGATGGGTAGGAACTGGGTCTCCTGGATAGCTTTGCTGTAGGTTACTTTTAGGAGAAGGTGCTGACAGCCCAATTTTCAGATTTATGGAGCATTACGAATTCCCATTGACTCTGTAACCATGTGATGAATCTGTCTATGCTTCATTTTTCTCAGCCATAAACTGGGAGAAATGGCATTTCTGTCTCTGGCTAGCTGGGAGGTTAATGCAATGATTATTAATAAACCTCTCTAATGACCTCTGGAGCAGCAATTCCCAAGCCAGGGTGGCAGTTCCTAGCGAGGGTTGCTGCACTCCTGAATGGACTAATGGACCCAGTGGAAATCAAGTGGCGGCAATGGGCTCAGAAGCTGGAGCAGAAGTCATTTTCCTAATGAGCCACCAGCAGTCAGGAACAGAGCCCAGGAGGTGACTGTCCCTTCTCCCAAACACCTGGCCTATGTGTTGCTCTTCGTGGAAGTCTCAGTCTCCCTGCATGGTGACCCATGCAGAGTGTCCTTAATGATTTCTGCGGCTGTGCTGCCACTGAGCATCACAGCTGCAACTGCCTGTTGCACAGGTAAATGGAGCTGCAGTCATAAAAGTCACAAACTTGGGGCTTATAATAAGTAGGATTTGTGTACCCAGACGACCAGAACCTACATTGCTATTAAGGTTCATTAATCTATAGGCAGTACTTTTCTGCTCCCTTAATTTAACGTCAGGGTCAGTGTGTCAACCCTCCTCACACAGGATCAGAACTGATACTTCGCTGTTCAGGACATGGTGAGTGAGTGGCTTTGGAGGCTGAAAACACAAAAAAAGCCAGTCTTCCGAAATGCATATCTATCAGAAATACCAGTTTCATTGTATAAAGTAATCTCTAAGGGCTATAGCTGGAGACGGTTTATCCCAGAGTAACTGATTTGTTTTCAGCCTAAGTTTTAGGCCAGTCAGAAACGGGTCAATTTTACTGGATGAGCAGGAGATGCTTGCCTTGCTGTGCTCCACATGCCTTCAAAGGCAGAGAGGCATAATACTTCCTTTGACAGGAGTCATAAGGGTAATACCCAGATTAAATGAGGAAACACAAGCAATCCTTTGGGATTGAGCCTGAACAGGACCTTAGGAAGAGCATGCTACATGAGGGTGCAGTCATCCACAAGCCAGGACTTTCCCCTCTGTCCTGAACACAGCAGAAGTTATGCTTCAATATGGGATCCCAGCCCATATCTGGCACGCTGCTGGCTGGAGGAGACAGGGAAAAACCTCTTACAGCTGATCTATCATGTTTCACTCTTGTACCCCTGCCACTGAGTCTAATAACAGCGTTGTCGATACTTGGAGAGTAGCAAATTAATTCTTAGAGCTCATTTGGTGCTCACAGGGACTGGCAGATAACTGACACACCACTGCTCCATCCGCAGTGAACTTTAAAACTGGGAGACTTTATCCATGTCCTTTATCTCAGTACAATGCACAGGTATCTCCGGGAAGTAGCACCTAATCTTCCCTTAGGCTGCATATATCGATCTTGGAACTGGTAATGCAAGGTAACTCCAGGAAAGAAATGTCTCCAGAAGCCAGGGGCTGTTGGGCATTCATCAGGGCAGTGAAGAGAAGGTCTTTGCTTCCAGGGCCTCCAAGGGCTTGTAATAATATCCTAATGATCATGTATTAGGGAATAGGTCTTTTTGGTGCTGAAGGTGCTGGGTGCCACACTCACTGCCTTCAAACCAGGACAAAGTCCATTGCAGACACTCATCCGTAAAGCTTTTGGTCCCTCTGGAAGACAAGGAAATGAGGAATTCTTTTCTTCTAGCAATAGGAAATATGATGCATAGGGACACCAACAGTCAGGCTCAAAGAAAGACATTTAGGCTCTTCCCTTTTGCTCCCACTGAAAACAGGGGGAATCGATGTGTTTCAATGTCTTTATGGAGTTAGTCCTGAGATCTGCCAGTCAGAAGGCTGTTTAAAAAAAGCAGGGAACGCAATGGCTAAAAAAAAAAAACAAACACACACCTAAAACACCAAAAAGAACCCCCGAAACTATAAAAAGGAAACTTTTTCATAACAGCAACAATGAGAAAAAAAAAAACCCAAACACCCAAAAACCTAAAACACCAAAAAGAACCCCCAAAACTATAAAAAGGAAACTTTTTAATAACAGCAACAAAGAATTAAATCATGGGAGTGACTATAATGGCAGATGTCAGCTTTTTAAGGTAAGATTACTGAACTGTATCTCAAAGAGAAGCTGCCTTTGAATTTTCTGGCTTGCCCCCATCCATGTTTCCACACTAACATTCCTCAGAGAGACAGTTTGGAGTTTGTTGACTGTTTTGGGGTTTTTTTTTCAACATTAGGGATAAATACACCGAAGCAAATACCCAACGATATTCAAGCTCAGTTGAGAGAGGAGGTCAGGAGGAGCACTCCCCAGCTCTCCACATACAGCAGTATCTCCAGAGTAAATCAAGAGCTGCGTTTTTCTGTGCTCCCTTTAGAATCATAGAATCATAGAATTGTTTAGGTTGGAAGAGACCCTTGGGATCATCGAGTCCAACCATCTACCCTACTCTACAAAGTCCTCCCCTACACCATGTCCCTTAGCACTGCATCTAAACGGCCCTTAAACACAGCCAGGGATGGTGACTCCCCCCCCTCCCTGGGCAGCCTGTTCCAATGCCCTATCACTCTTTCTGTGAAAAATTCTTTCCTAATGTTCAATCTAAACCTACCCTGTTGGTGCTTGAAGCCATTCCCTCTCGTTCTGTCACTAATTACCTGTGAGAAGAGACGGACATCTGGGGATGTCTGTGATCCTGAGTCCCTGCCACCCTGCTGCATGCCAGAGAGGTCTCCTGACCAACACTGCCTACCTGAAGCCACCTTTTTTTTCCTCTCAGACCAGTTTAACCAGCTCCTATACTGGTTTTACAGCCCACTGAAGGCTCACTCTGCTGCCTGTACTGGGAGGAGTGCTGCAGAGCTGATCTCTTTGGGCGTTTTCCCATACCTGGGTTTAGGATTACCATCCTTAGGGAATGCCCTCGAGTTTCACCACCTGCCTCTTTAACCCTAGACAGGGAAAGCTGACTGCAGAGAATACAGTTACTCAACGCAGGCAATATGTTTCTAGAGGTTGTTGAAAGAGAAATGAAAGGGAGCAACAGGTACTCTGCAGTACTTCTGGCCAGGCTGAGAAGTTGGCAAGTGCTGTGTTTCATGAAACCCTTAGCTTGGCTTGTGAAAGTCTGGGTCTGGGAGCAACATTTCCCCTAATAGACAAAACATTTGGGGGATATCATTTATTAACACTTAATTTATGCAGAAAGCCATCTGCCCTTGCTTCTGTAAATCCATGGGCTACTGTAGGGAAACAGGAACTCTCCATGGGCCTGGTCAGTGGGATTCTGAGACAGGCTGAGAGAGCTGGGGTTGTTCAGTCTGGAGAAGAGAAGGCTCCGGGGAGACCTTTGAGCAGCCTTCCAATATCTGAAGGGAGCTACAGGAGAGCTGGGGAGGGACTCTTTGTCAGGGAGTGCAGTGACAGGACAAGGTTTTTAATTGGAAGGGGGGAGATTTAGGTTAGATACCAGAAAGAAATTCTTTACTGTGCAGGTGGTGAGACACTGGAACAGGTTGCCCAGAGAAGCTGTGGCTGTCCCATCACTGGAGGTGTTCAAGGCCAGGCTGGATGGGGCTTTGAGCAACCTGGTCTGGTGGGAGGTGTCCCTGCCCAGGTTGGAACTTGATGATCTTTAAGGTCCCTTCCAACCCAAACCATCCTATGATTCCATGAGTCTCACCCACCCAGGCTGCTCAAGCTGGTCAAAAACTCTTTAACTCATTACTGGATGCCCTTCCGTGAGGCTCGAAAACATTGGATACTCAGGGTAGAGCTCAGCAGGTGCAGAGCTGCTCTTCGGGGAATGCATCCAAGGTGATAACTGCAGGCGAGAGCACCCTGTGGGACACAGGCCCGTCCTGCCCGCTCTGTGCTGCTGAGGGGTTGAGTGGCCTCTGAGGGAGAGCCTGGCAGCCTTCCCCCTCCGAGGAAGAGCCTTCCTCCCCAGCGTGGCCGCGCTCCCTGAGGGAGATGCGGTGTCAGGGAGGAATGCCTCCTTGCTTACTGCACGGATTGCCCCTTGTGGCCTTCACTGGGGACGGCGGGAGGGCTCCCGGCCCACAGCCCCCCCGCCGCCCCGCCACACGGCCTCGAACCTCCCGGCAGCACCTCAGGGGTGCCCAGGCCCGAGGAGGGGCCGGCGGGGAGCGCAGGGCCCGCGGCGCTGAGAGGAGGCCGGGCCGGGAACC